TCTATATAGTTTCAAGGGGATGCAATTGCTCATTTCCTCTCATTAGAGACTAGAGAGCCGCAACTGGGTGAGCCTTCTATATCATAAGATTAAGAACATTTTATATTTTGAAATGGTAAAAAAATTAGTATTTTAAAACAATAGTTTTATTTATTCTATGTACGTTATTGTATAATATCAACTTGTTATAAAATTATTTTACACAAATATTTTGTTTTCATTTACAACTCATGAAATATGTAAAAACTTACCTATTCATAATCTTTTGGTATCTGCCAAATGGGCTTACACTACTCATCGTTAGTGCCAAAACTTATAACTTAAACGAGGGTCAAATACTTAGTAGAATACAGTAGGTAACTCCCATGCAACCCTGTAATAGTGATACAATAGACCTCTGCTTCCACTTCTGCAGTTACAGAAGTTCTGCATACATTTTCACATCTGCTTCTGCATCTGATTCCGCATTTTTATAACGGAAGCTTATCGAAACTTCACAAAACTTTTTGAAAATCGATATATTGGAACAATAAAACAAGTCGTAAAAATTTATTTTTTTTATCTGTTGGCTGAATTTGACCGTTTTCAAAACATAATTTAAATGGAATTGCTTGTTGCAAAGCTGCATCTTGGACAGGTACCTCCGCTACCTTTGAGTGACCCCTCTGTAACATTGTGAACGTATTGTCAACCGTTTATGTTAATGAAGCGTTATAGCCAGCAAAATTTTGTTAACAATAATATTGACCCTGTGAAAATAATTTTATTATAGTTTAGGGCCAAAATATATTTCCTAGTATGTCGTATGTTGATATTTTCCAAATTTTATTCTCTTATTAGCTTTCTACTTTAATCCAAAGACTTTCAGTTCCCCCTTAGTCAGTTCTAATAATTTCATTTCGAAATTACTAATATAGTTATAGCGTTTATTTATTTTGTATAGTGTTTGCTTAGTGATGTAAATTTTAAGTTAAAAAGGCAATTTTGATGCCAAGAAGAAGTTCCGTTAGGGATTATTTTGTTGATATTAACGATGTTAAATGCAAAATTTGTGACAAAATATTCGCGAAAAGGGCGCACGACCACGACATTAAAGAACTACGTCAAATCATTATACTTCCGCATCCGCGTCCGTTTCGGTTTCTGCTAAAATGTACTATTTTGTTTGCGTTATGGCACTTCCGTCGCATCACCACCCTATAAATGGCAGTGAGACGTGAGATGAAAAATAGTGATAAGTGAGATGAAAAGCACAACAGCTGCAGAGGAGGTCACTTTATTTTTTGTATCTTTCTTTTTAAGATACACATTTCTGATGCGTTTGTCTACTTTATTTTATTGTCTTTGTTATAATAGCACCTCCGATTCCGATTTTTCAACTGTAAATTAACCACTTCTTGTTAAAAACAAACCATTTTGTACCTGTATGTTTATATAATCCATATTTTGAATTTCTTTTGATTTGTCTTGTGCCGGGACAATCACAGTGCATAATAGGTAGGTGCTAATAATTATTTATCGTTTTATAAATGCAAAGTTACGCGCTACGCCTATGGAATCCGTCAAACAGAAGTAGCCTAAGTAGCGTAACGTGTACAATATCTTTTTTTAATGTTATAAAATGTATTGGCACCGGCACCGTATGTGCCTAAGCCGAAACGAACCCTCGCAGATAAAGAATTCAGTTAAAGATGGACACGATTTTAACTAATTTCGGACACAAAATATTGGAAAGAGCAAATCCGAATGCAGACACTCAATAGCAATTCGGAAGTAGACAGTGTATGCGTAATCGGAGGTACAAGTATCATTATCATCATGAACATCATAAGATCGTCAGTCCTAAGATTGGTTGGACGTGCATGCACCCCTACCTTTTCAATCCTAAGCTAATCTTCGCATTTCCCAAAAACTACCACATCCTTAACAATTTATGAACAGTATTCTAATTTACCTTTTACCACCTTTAACTGCTGCATCTACTTTCAATATGCCTCTACTAGCCTCTCATGCCTGAGGAGATATCCTACCAAAATATTTCGCGTATTTCTTATTGACTTCCATAGCGCCCTCTGTTCTCTTTCTAATACCTCCTCACTTCTAATCTTCTCTATCCACGGTATCCTCATCTTGCGCATGTAGCGTCTGTACAGCGCCGCGCTCCAAACATACACCTTTAACAATCTTTTTCGAATTTCGAAATATCATGTCCCTTTTATTTAAGACTTATATATCTCCAACTCCTTGCTTGATGATAGTACTGCTATATTATCTGCACACTAATTTTTTGCCCTTATATACCTATCCATAATGTTGTCCTGTCTTTAATGATGTTTATCGTGTCTTCGGTGTTTAGGTTAAAAAGTAGAGGTGACAGTGTGCATCCCTGCTTGACCCTTCCTAATATTTACTTTTCTACGTCGCTGCTTAATGACGGACTGTTGCTCTTTACATAAACCATGTATCACTCTTCTATCTTTGTATCTCATCCATACATTTTTATATATATTTAACATCTTGTACCATTTAACCCGTAAAGCCAGAATGACCCTCCATTCCTTCTAAACCCAAATTTATCTTCCCCTAATAGTTCCTCCGCCCTTTTCTTCATCTCCCTCTGTACAATCCTAGTTAAGATTTTTGACGCGGAGAAACTTAAGAGAAATGTTCTAAATTTCTCGCATATATCCGCGCCTCTTCTTTTGAATATGACTACTACTCCTTTCCGTTTATAGTCCTCCGGGACTTTCCCCGTGTTGTAAGTGTGACTAACTAGCTTAAGCATACGATGTCTAACCTCTCGTTCTACATATTTTAAGATTACCGCCTGTATGCTTTTAATGCTTAATCAAACTCTTCCATCATTGTCAGGTATTCTAGCTCACTAGGTATCTCTGCACTATCTTTCGTCTTTAATACGTCTCCTAAGTCTTAACCTGCGTGTAGGTTCTCTAAATTCTTTCAACCTATTTGCTTTTTCCTCATTTTCTATCAAAATGTCTTTAATAAATAAAATGTACAAATTGGTACCTAATTATAAAAAATACCAGACTTTCTTTTCAAAACCGAAAATGTTACAGACATACCCAATAGACATTATTAAAACAAAGTAAGGTAATGTCAAATTCTAATAACCCTGTTTTATCTTACCTCTACGTTTATTAATTTTGGAAATAAAGTAGTACATTTCCAGACAGTCGCATATCTTGAATTTCTGTCACCCGGGGCGAAGTCTAAATTTGCCGCCTTTCCTATTTTTTTAATTCTGTAAAGGGTGTACAAAGAACTTATCTTTTTAATTTAGCCCTTGAGGAGAAAAGTGGNGAGTAAGAAAGCACTTTACAAGCCTTTTTGCTTTCCAATTATCAAAATAACTAGATAAACAATTATTATTTATTTAGAAAATGTACCTACAAGTGAAGACATAAATTAAACAATTCTACTTTTAGGGAAATCCGAATTCAGGATAGGAAAGAGTGCAGGTGCCTGTCCAATCAGTCTTAGGACTGACAACCCTACGATGATGATTAAAACAATGTAGATACATTACACTAGTATATTTCATTCAAAACTTAATAAATCATGACCCCATCAAAAGGCTTAAAGCATAAAATCAGTAGAAATAAATCGTACATGAATAATGAATAAATTAAAATTTCAAAAATTTGTAATATCTTTATATTGTCAATAGCTCTGAAAAACAAGTTTTATTATTATTTTAATTATTTTGTTTGTAAAACACTTATATGAAATGATGTAGAAACACAAATATAAAAGTTAGTTGCTTATATCTGATTTCCTTCAGGAAAAAAATGGAATCTTTTGAAAAATGTCAACCTTAAAACTTTACAAACACTTTCAATAAACGAGCTATTTAACCGTAATCGGTTTCATTGCCACTATTATTCCCAAAACTTGTTATCTATGGTTTATGTTTTTCTTTATCTATGGCTTTGCTTATAGATATTAGCTTATGTTTAAGTTGTAAGGTTATATGGCGTATTTCATGGTTATGTGATTATCTACTAGTTTTTAGTGCGTATTTATTATATATAAAATATTTACATCGTGTGCAACATTTAAAAAATCTACCAATTTGAAATGAGTATAAAGAGATAAAAAGTTCAACTGTAAAATAAACAAATCATCTGCAATTATGGTTTGGAACCCAGTAGCTAATTTTGCAAATTGCATTAAATCTAGACCTCCACTTGTTGTTTTTGCCCTGTGCTTGTTTAGTTTTTTAATTACTGCAGTTTCGTTAGCCTATTACGTCCAACACGACAACATTGAAAATAAAGATGCTCAAGAAGTAACTACTTATCAATTCAGAGTGTTAGATTTTCTAAGACAATATGCACTAATTTTAGCAATGGCTTTCACTAATCCACTTCATTGACAAAACAGGGTTTTGTATACAAGATGATGCTGCTGATACAAAGACAAATTTTTCTGCCGCAGACAAAGTAAATATAAATACCTATGCAATTGTTACTTCACCAATAACAAATAGGACTTTTGTTCAGGGAATAGTCTCCTTAAAAGGTAGATTGAATAAAAAACAACAAATTAATGAATAAATAATTGTCTCTTTTTAGAATGGTCCTTTCCTTGTTTGAATGAAGCTGAAAAACCGGAAAACATTGAACTGTCTTTTAATATCCATTCAAAAGATAACAGTGATGATAGAAATGTTTGTGTAACAATATCAGGTCCAAAGCAATTCATGCCCAAAGTTGATAGTCATGTTGAATGTCCAATTTCAGAGGAAAAAGAGGTAGGTACTTTACCATTTGTTGTTTTTATTACTTTGCTGATTGCTGTTGTTTTTTAGGTTTCCAAGAAATTATTTATATACAATAATGCAGGTAGATGTGTCAATAGGCCTGTAATGAGACTAGAGTTTGATAGTAGCAGTATTAATAAAGTGGAATCAGAAGAATACTTATCATCGGTAAGTAAATAGCTTAAGTCGAAATTAAAGTGCAGATGCAATCATGATCTATTTAAGATATTATATTACCCACTGTATATGATAAAAATGTTAGGAACCTGTGTTGAATTTTTTGAATAATATATTGAGATAACTATTATCTTATAATCTTTATTATTATATATTGTCAATGTTATTAAGATCAAAATTATTATTTATCTCATAAAGCAAGACAAAGGTTTGAGAAGTACAACCTGAGGAACTCCTAATATTACTAATTATTAACTGAATGATGGTTTACTACAACACACCATTCATACAAGAAACTGTTCATTGTCTATTTAGCTACTATATTTTCATTTCAATTTTATTTTAGGATGATAAAGAAGTAATATACATGCATCTAATTGCTACTAGCTATTTTATTATATTTGTAATTTTGGTGATAATTTGTTATGCATTAATAAGAGGACATAAAGTTGAACAGAAACAAGATGCTAGACATCTCTTAACAGGAAAGGTAAACAGTAATTATATATATACTTATTTATTTAAATTAATGAGATATTTCTTTCAGATTTTACACACTTGATGGAGCAATATTATATTTTACAAGTATATTATATTTTCTTCCCATATTTTTGTTGTTTAAGGCAAAACCATTTATATGTAATTTGTTGTTAAAGTCCGTAAATAAAGTGATCTTATCAAATTTGACTCTTTATTTATAAAATGCTGATTTAAAGGTAAAAAGAAATGTCATGCATTAAAAATAAAAAAGGTGTATTTAAAACATCTAAGTACAAAATAAATGAGCATCAAAATAACTTACATGCTATAGGTATAAAAGTAAAAAATACTTTTCATTTGAACACAAGAACAAAACATCCAATACGTTTGGAAGTTTTAAATATATGTATAGGTAAAAATAAAAGGGAGCAAATGTCTTCAAAAATTAAAATAATAAACCTTACAATTCAAAAATACTTTTTGAGATTACAAAATTCGCTTAATTCAAAAGCTAGCTCTTGTAAATACTTTGTCAGGCAGTGTTTATTGTTAAAAATACATTGATCGAAATCCCTTTTCTTACCTCATCATAATCAAACGCTTTAGTTTGTCACTCTTTGACCTTTTCTCTTTCATAACAGTGATATGTTCAGATGCATTACTATCATTGAGGGATGTAGATGGTTGTGCCAATGTAGGTGTTTCAATTCCAAAAGGGCTATACAACTTGGTCGGTGTTCGACCTAACACTGTTTTAGAAAATGTGAGTGGAGTCGCAGGTGCACCGTTTGGGGCGTTTGGGGTAAAATTTGTCTCTTCTAAAATGTGTCTACGTCTCGTTCCTCTGAATCTCTAAAACAAAATGTTTAAATAACACACCATTCTGTTATTTCAAAATTTAATTACCTGTGACAAACTAGTTAATGTAGTTCTAAAGTTATTTAATCCTTTATGAAACTTCTCAGTACCTGTTCTTAACATTTTCCTAGAATTATTTAATGATAGCACCGAAAGAACAGATCTATTGTTTTTATTAGAACTTGATTCACTGTCGTTAAACCGGTCTTGCAACTTTTTACGACATTTTCTGGGGCTCGAATTTCCCTTCTTCATTATACATACATTCTGATGAAACTTAAATCTACTATTTTTTTCTTCAAAAGCCATTTTCTTAGAGTTATCACAAACTACCCCTGTTAAGTAAATGTTCGTTACTTCTGGTTTTAAATTTTGAATATTTCAAACGGTCCTTAACCACAGAGAAAAAATATAATAAAATGCAACCTCTGTCCTCTATGGTTACAGCGTTGTTCGAATAGTTGATACAGAACTGAAGCAATTTATTTTACCTTACAAATGCATAGAAGTAGTAGTACTTTCATTTTTAATATTTAATTTTTCTTTATATTATCATATTAATATACGTGATTAACATTCGAACATATACTGACAGAAAAAAAAAATTAAATAATCGTAATATATATTATTTTAATTATTTT